AAAAAAATGAATACAAAATTGAAGGATATCAACATTTAGAAAATACAGACCTCAGTAAAATCAAGCAGCCTCTCGGCTGAGATAGCTCCGCTGTCAGCAATACACGTTTCAATTAAAGATATTAACTGAAGATATCGACTAGAAAATGAACAAATCTGAGAGAAATCTACCTGTAGTACTTGCGTTTATAACATCAAATCAATCAGACTTGGTTTTTTTTACAAGAATTAGAAAATATCACTTTTTACCAAAAAATTACAAAACTATTCATCAAAATTAGAGAAATGAACAAATCTAACAGGGGCCTACCTGTAGTTCCCTATGTGTATAATATCAAAACAATCAGACTCGCGGTTTTCAACAAAGTTGAAAATATCACTTTTTACCAAAAATGACAAAAATATTCATCAAAATTAGAGATTAAATTAAAGATATTGTCACAAAATAAACAAATCAAAGCGAGGTCTGCCCAAGGTACATATAAATTAGGTATCAAAGCAATCAGGCTTGTAGTTTTCAAGAAGTCAAAAAAATTTTTACACGAACGATGGATTTTGAATAAGCCAACAGCGGAGCTAAAAAGGTAGTTACCAGTATTTGTTATAGCGCCCTCTAGTGGCAATAAACACATTTAATTTTTATTTCCTTCTGAGCAGTTTGGTTCGACCAGATGAAAAATATATTATTTAATATACTAATAATAAATTTTAATAATATCACAGAAAAGTTAGATTTGATTTAAAAAAATATTGCAGTGATCAATGGCAATTGGCATTAAGACCAACTAGTAGACATCCATCGATAGAGGGCGCTTGACACCATTCAATACATGACTCAATCATCTACAAGGTGAATCAACAGTAGCACTGACAATCAACAGTAGCACTGTCATTACCAATATTGTTTTGAATGAAAAAATATATAAATGTAGGAGGCTACCTTTAAATCTAATCCCCAGATTACCTTGGCTTTTACTTACCATGTAGTTTTTATCTTATGGTTTTGATCACAAAATCTTGAGAGAAAAAAGTATGGTCACCGTACTACTTTTCACACATGTCAAAACACCCATGAAAATTGCGATTTTTGAGCCAGTGGGATGTTCATTTTTCAGTATAATTTACAGACAACCACACCATGTCAGTAATTGCCTGCAGTTTTGTGGGTTTCATCCAAATATAGCCACGAATAAAGTTTTATAGGTACCACCAGATAGACAATATGTCATCAGTGTGTACATTGCAATGCTTGATGCGTTAGACATGCTGTAATGCATGTACATGTTCATTGTATACAAAACGCGGTGATGCTCTCCTCCGTCGTAATGGATTCAACCAACATAAAACGTTTCCACTTCCCCACACTTCTTGGAATGATTCAAATGCTGACATTCGCCCGCTATCACTCTTGTGCGAGTGATTGCTATAAAAAAACAAAAATGAGAATTACTTGTACAGAGAAATTACAAATTCCATATATGTACAAGACTCAAGTTCAAATCTGTACAGAGACCACTTAGGGAGGGACCAAGAATAATTCGTGTAACCCAGCCCCCATGAAGTTTGCAAGTGGTGAAAATATGTGGAAAATGGAATTTATTTAAATTGCATTATCATTTGATCACTAACCACCCTCAATCTGATTAAAATCTGATGTAGTGTACGGGCTTTAATTATTTGGGCTATAAACTTATTTTAATTTAATTTTTTATTACTTTTGTTATTAATGTCTTTTTATTTTATTAATTTTTACTTTGATTTTGATTTTGTGTTTTTTTTTCAATTCCGCCCTACATACTCTGACCCGATGCTTATGTAACGAGATTTCAACGAGACCCACTATCGACGATTTTAGTCAACGAATCACAGACCTCCTTCTATAGCGCACATGATGACGTCACTGGGCAGAGTCAGGTGGCAAACACACTCAAATAAAATGGCGATACGACGTTAGCGACGAGAATAACACAGGCTTTTCAGGTAAGTTTATTATTGTCAAATGCAACGAAAGTTATTTTTATGTTAATATTGTGGCTGGAATGGTTTGAGTTTAGATCGTTATTTTGCGATTTTGTTTCCACCGGTTAGACCAAACACCGGTGTCTTTTTCCAGTCGCTTGCCCTGGAGACGGGTTATGTTTTGTGACGATCGGGCCAAAATCGTCTATGGTATTGAAGCCATGATTGAAGCTGTGATTGGCTGTTATTTGCGCGAGATTTGAACAGGACTTACATAGGCGTCGGATCAGATGTAGGTAGGGCGGAATCAAAGTAAATCAAAGTAAATCAAAGTAAAATAATAAAATAAAAAGGCATTAATAACAAAAGTAATAACAAATTAAAATAAGTTTATGGCCCAAATAATTAAAGCCCGTACACTAGATCAGATTTTAATCAGATTGTAACCACCCTCTCACATTTTAAAGACAGAAATTTATCAATGTGCATAATTCAATTATCCATGGACATTTATATATAGCTACTAAGATGGAAGACGTGATGCGAGACACTCACAAGTGGGCATTCTTCAAATTCAGAGCGGCCAATATTAATCTAGTTTACTCACCATGTCTGACCCTGCTGCATACGTCTGTAATAATTGGCTGACTCTATAATCTGTTCCAACGTTGTACGATTCTGTGAATATAAATCAATTAATATCAGCAGTTGATCATGTACATAACAATCTCAAAATACTTAAAATGCTATAGTCGTCATACTGTGTCATATTCATGAGTAGGCCCACTACAACACATGTAAAAACACATTCAAATTGTTCATGAGTTTCAAAAGTACGCTGCACGTCAGCAAGTAATCTGTTTTTTTTCTCTAGTTTTTATTTTTAATTAAATATTTCCTCTGTCATTAGTCCGAATTGTAATTGTAATTCGGACTCTGAAGTCATAGCATATACCGGTATGCTATATACCGGTACCATGGTTATACACAAGTGAAAAAGATGGCCGCTTGTTTACACCCAGGTCTCCAGAGGGCGCCATCTATTGAAATCCAGTCTTGTCAAGCAAATCTCAGGGATCATAGTACAAGATGAAAACTTACCGAGGCCCTGGGCAAAATCATGTAAAATAAGTTGCTAAGTCTCTCTCTGACGGCCTCTTAATGATATTTTTATTTTGTGCTCATCGTGCGTCATAATTTTCTATGGCCTCTATCATGTGACCGATTTCAACCATGGCGACTAGTCAGCCATTTTATGTGATATAGTCTTGTGTAGGGTCATTATTGTCCATGCAATTGTGACTATAACATCTTTATGTTTATATTTCAACAACAAAATGTTCAAAATCACAGCTATTGTCACTTAAATATACAATATGAGAATGAGAAAATATATAATACATACTAGAAAATATATAATACATACTAGAAAATATATAATACATACTAGAAAATATATAATACATACTAGAAAAATATTTATAACTTGGGTGAGAAACTGTGTTGAACATATGAGCAATAAAGCTAAATCTAGTATAAAACCAACATACATAAACCAACGTTGATGTCGAAACATGAACACATCCTGTGAATACAAAATAATACCTTGTTAGTCAACTTTGTATGAGATGTTCTTTTGAACTCTCCTAATGTTGTAAGCCTTATCTAAATTGTAGTCATGATTTGTTACACTGCAGTGATCAACCATTGGAGAATATGTGGTGGTAATGTAGAGGGTATTATTGACACACAATAGGGAAATGTTGGCATCATAGAGAGCATTATTGATAATGAAAAGGCAATTATTGGGACCATAGAAAGCATTATTGACAATGAAAAGGCAATCATTGGGACCATAGATGGCATTATTGACAATGAAAGGCAATCATTGGGACCATAGATGGCATTATTGACAATGAAAGGCAATCATTGGGACCATAGAGAGCATTATTGATAATGAAAAGGCAATCATTGGGACCATAGATGGCATTATTGATAATGAAAAGGCAAGTATTGGCAACATAGAGGCCATTATTGACAATGAAAAGGCAATTATTGGCAACATAGAGGCCATGATTGATAATGAAAAGGCAATTATTGGCACCATAGAGAGCATTATTGACAATGAAAAGAAAATTATTGGCACCATAGAGGGCATTATTGACAATGAAAGACAATTATTGGCACCATAGAGGGCATTATTGATAATGAAAAGGCAATTATTGGTATCATAGAAAGCATTATTGACAATGAAAAAGAAATGATTGGCACCATAGAGGGCATTATTGACAATGAAAGGCAATCGTTGGCACCATAGAGGGCATTATTGATAATGAAAAGGCAATTATTGGTACCATAGAAAGCATTATTGACAAGGAAAAGGCAATTATTGGGACCATAGAAGGCATTATGGATAATAAAAAGGCAATTATTAACACCATAGAAAGCATTATTGACAATGAAAAGGCAATTATTGGGACCATAGAGGGCATTATGGATAATGAAAAGGCAATTATTGGCACCATAGAGGGCGTTATTGATAATGAAAAGGCAATTATTGGCACCATAGAGGGCATTATTGACACCATAGAGGGCACTATTGACAACGAAAAAGCAATTATTGGCACCACAGAGAGCATTATTGATAATGAAAAGGCAATTATTGGGACCATAGAGAGCATTATGGATAATGAAAAGGCAATTATTGGCACCATAGAGGGCGTTATTGATAATGAAAAGGCAATTATTGGCACCATAGAGGGCATTATTGACACCATAGAGGGCACTATTGACAACGAAAAAGCAATTATTGGCACCACAGAGAGCATTATTGATAATGAAAAGGCAATTATTGGGACCATAGAGAGCATTATGGATAATGAAAAGGCAATTATTGGCACCATAGAGGGCACTATTGACAATGAAAAGACAATCATTGGCACCATAGAGGGCATTA